TAACTGACTACAACACTTGTGCAAACTATATGAAATTAACCAAGGTTTTTACATTTACAGTGATAAATACCGTGAATATGGTGTACCCTTCATGGAAAACAATCTGATGTTAAACTGAGCATGATGCGTAGTGAGCCGCACTGGATAATGAGCATGAGCAGCAAACACCACCACGAAGGCGGAATCAAACAGCACCACCTTGGCTTGTGGCTGAAACAGTGTGAAAGTGACTGAAGATGCAGTACCATTACTACACGGCAGCTACATGTTGACTTGAAAATATTTATTTATTTATTTAGAAAACGTTTTCTATCCAATCCAAAAAGGACAGACAGAAATCACTTAAAGATGGGGTTGAATATTGATTCACTAGCCTTTGCATGGCGGAAACAATGAAAATATGGAATTCAAACACAATGCGAGTTGCTTCATCTGCAGAGGTACTAAAATCTAGCCTACATCTAATAATTAGTTAAAGGGACCTTCCGTGAGGTATTTTATCCTTTGGGTAATCACTTTCCTTTAGCATCCAAGTTTCTGAACAGTGCATTATAGATGTTGACTTTGCTGAGTTCTCATGTTGTCTGGTTTCAAAGCTCAATTCACATTTTATTTCTACTCCTGATTCTCTTATTGTGTGGTCTGAATTTCACCTTGCACAAAAAAAAAGCAAAATCTCTATTCATTTCCAACTAACATGACGTTAACTGACATTAATCATTTTGTATCACTTTAGCTAAACTCAGGAATTAAGAGTGGTTTCATAAACGCTCAGTCCTGTCAGCAACCATAAGGCCAAAAAACTAGCAACAAGAATGGCTTGCGTCAAATCTATACTCATGCAATCACATTTCCCTTGCAAAAATACCAAGTGCATTTGATTAAATGGGCAGGGATCCCAGAAATGTTTCCAGCCAGATTAAATGAGGATACGGTGAAGTTTTGATTGTCGTTCTCATGAAACAATATCAAATATCCAGCCAACCATTGCAGAGTATGTTCACCAGTTTTTGGAGGATGTGCTGTTTCACATCATTTTGTAAATAAGATGACCAAACTATCAAGGGAAGTTTGAAGTTATGTTCTTTTAAATGTAAACATTTGAAACATACATCTTAATCCGATTTACAGTAATCAGAACATTATATGCATGTACCCATTATACACAAGACAGTGCAATAAGCAGCAGTTCTCACTAAAATGCACAGTAACATTCCGTATAGGGCTGAAACGATTCATCGATTAAATCGATAAAATCGATTAATAAAATGCATCGACACAAATTCTTTGCATCAATGCTTCGTTTAATCCATTTAACAATACAGCACAGTGTTTTGCACGGATATTTATTACTGTTGCACATCACGTTTCTCCTGTGAACACGACGTGATTATAATAGAGCTGTTTGCAAAGTGGAAGAAGAGAGAGAAAATGGTGAGGGACAAAGAAGAAAGTGTCCAAAGTATGGGATTATTTCAAGCTAAAGAAAACAACAACTCTGTAACGTTACCATCCGTCCACCGTAAAACGAAACTTATGTCGCCTTGGCAACAGCACGACAGCAGCTAAACAAAGCAAAAGTACTTCTTAAACGACACATCAATGAATCATTGAAATAATCTATTGAAGCTTCGAATACTAAAATCATCATTAGCTGCAGCCCTAATTCAGTATGTTATGTCCCACAAAAAGTCTTAATTTGATAGTATATGTGGCTTTGCTACATTAAAAGTTCAAACTGCCAGACACAAGATGTTTTGGGTTGTACTCTCAATTCACAATTACTAAATTATCTGGATTGATATCATTTTTTCATCAGAAGACCCTGAATGACTAATTTGCACATGGGTCGTAAACACGAGACATTTCAGCCTTAAACGGAATATGTTACGAAGCCAGTCCTCTGGCAACATTTTCCATCACTCAGGAATGGATCTGCTGATTGCCTAACTTTTAGCAGTACCTTGAAAGTTATTGGTAATGTCTCCTAAATATAGGGAAGTAAACTAAACACATTTTGGCAAACAAGCTATAAGGACACATTAACATATTATCACTTTTTAAGGGGATATGTCTGACATGTAGGAAACAGCTGCCTGTTCACTCATACAGCAAAATTAGCATTCACCTGATGAATGTAGGGCCCAATATTTACTCTTCTTTTAGTCCCATTTTTGGTGCTTTGAGCTAAATGCTAATGTTAGCATGCTAATGTCAACATTGTCAAATTCATAATTCCAGACTGGCAGAGAAATTAAAATATCTATTCCCATAAGAACTGAACTAAACTCTGTAAGAAGTAAAACATAAACACATGACATTGTGCTGCAACAAAATGAAAGCACATCTGCTCCAGACTAGACTGTATCCAGGAAGCCTGGTAAGAGATAACTGACTGGAGATGGGAGACTTCTTTCATCCCATATGCTCTCTGTGGTCTCAGCAGTCTGACAGGGTGACAGTGTAACCATGACCTGATTACCTGTACCCTGAAGCCTGTAATCACTAAAGCCAGCAGACAAGCACTGTCAGTCTGCTGACAGGGGGGATAATTGAAGGTGATGCTACATGCTGCCAGCCCTGCTAATGAAATATGAAAACAAAGAGCAGGGACAAGGCAGCAGGGCACCAAATAGGCTGAACTCCAGCGCAGGCCATTTCCTGTCTATTCACCAGCCACTTTTCATTTTACCTGCCAATCAGACATTTGAAAATATTGGTCTATGTGGAATGATGATCTGGTTGTGTAACTCTCTTACAAGCCTACACAATAGCTTTTTTAGCGACTGGTCTTTTCCATAAACATTCCCACCAAGTATCGGGTTTTCCTGTTACCCATATTCATCAAACACAAAAGGTGCTGCAATATTAGTTTAGTGATAAAATGCTGACGCACTGCAGAGTGTCTCTCGTGGCTCCACAGTTACAGTGTAGACTGTAAAAAAAACATTAACCCTGCATCAGTGATGGAGCCCATAATATTCTGAAGGGACGTTTTTAAAACTTGGATTTGGGTTTACTGGCTTATTGCGACAGGCTGAGACAGGAAACAACACCCCAAAACAAACAACTCTTTGAACATGATTATGTTTTTAACAATTTAATATTGAGGCCAACCTCTGTGGGAAAATAATACAGAATTTTGAAGTTGAAGAAGTTGACATTCCTGCAAAAATCTGTCCCGACTGAGTTGTGAGGCCCAGGAAATGTTGACGGCAAATTTAAAAAAGCTATTCATTCCAAATCTAGCTATCAACTCTGGGAGCCTGTGTAAATCAGTGGATTTATTGATTTATACAGGATGGTAACGTTTAGAAATGCTAAAAATTTGCCTTAAAGCACAAAGTGTAAAGGAACCTCTGCTTACCCACCCATAAGTTTGTCAAGTTCCCACCGAATGCTTATCATATATCTTAATGAGTTGGATGTGCTGTCTGCTTCTTGAACAAACACTTGCAAAGCATCCCAAACCAATATAAAATAAAAAAGTGTTTTTAACATTGAGCTTTGTCATTCTCTTTTGCACCTGACAAAAAGCTCCAAACATTATTGAAACGGTCCAATTTGGAGCAAACGTGAGAGATTTAGCAAAGTAATCACAGACTTCAAAAGTATTCATTTGTTACTGTGAAGAAATGCATTTTTCATCTTAAAATATCAAATCAGCCATGCGTTGTCCTTGTTCCCCATTTTGGCACGGTCACATCACAAATGTTAACATTCAATAATTCATGTTTTTCATACTTCATACAACTGAACCATGCACATTAAAGTTTAGAGCTCACAACTTGGGGCAATAGGAGCAGGGACATTAAGGCTTTTTTATTAAGGCGATCTTAAAGCAAAACTCACATGCCCATATGTGAGCATTACTGGTCACTGTAATTGTTCCTTCTGTCAATACTAGCCACAAAAATCCCCCCTTAAGGCAATTTTAATGTAAGAAATGGGGACACATCCACACAAAAATCCTGCTCTTTGTGTTACTGTCCATCAGCAGTGACTGAGCAAAAACTCTAACACTGGAAGATAAACTACCTGATTGGTCTAACTCTGACTCCTTGAGCCTCATATTAGCTTTAGCTGAACTTAAGAGTGTATTTTTACACAAAAAGAAGGCTGTGAATTTTGTTACTTGCCCTGAAATCGCTTAAGAGACCTCTTTTTGATGCCAGTATGGACAACAAGAGGAACTATCAGTGCCAAATAATTTTTTAATGTATACATATAGGCATGGTAAGTGCTGTTTTAGGATAGACTTGAAAAGATATGAGCCTGTCCTTTAAAACCAGATTCTAGTATCCAAACTTTCACATTTTAAAACATATACAACACCAGCTCTGACCAAACAACTGGTGGCATTTGGCGCAAATTGTAGTAACTTTTAAATCCCTCACATGTCCCCTTAAACTGTCTGTGACGTTGAATACATTTGCAGGATAGACGATATATTTTGATGATATATCTATTAAAGTGTTTTTTGTAACGCTGACTCCACATACCTGCTGTGTGACACAAACCAAACTGTTGGCGGTGCAACAGTTCACACTACCTATTGTTATGGCGTAGTAAAAGTATCCCAAGGAGAACTGGTGAAGAAGCTAGTTTGTTTTGTTGTTGTTTTTAGTGTTAAGAGTTTTCTAAGCTCTCCGTCAAGGCACTTTGGCTTATAACATTTGGCTACAGTAGCAGTTACTGTACGCACATGCCACCCTGCTCAGCCACAAAATCACAACAAAAACAAATGGCGCCATTAAACGGATACTGAATTCATGCCTCGTGGACGTTCAGTTGTAGCTACTGAGAACTCATGAAAGTCATGATTTTAGCGAAACTACTAACTTAACTAACGGACCCAGCTACAGTGGGCTCACGAGAATATATCGCTACATCACATGAAGTGTTGTAGCAGCCCTCTCCTTCCCAGTCTCTACAGCAGAGAAGACAGACAGTGGACAGACCTGCTCACATCTAAAGACAGATGAATTTGTTCCACTTACCCATAGGGCCTCCCGACGATCTTGGAAATACGGATAGTTTTCTATAAAGTGTCTCCGGGCACGGCTCCGTTATCTTTAGGAAATGACACTGACAAACTCAGAGCAGTGAGAGACTTAGCTCCTCCCACCGGAGTGTGAGTGTGAGTGTGTGTGTGTGGGTGGGTGTGTGTGTGTTTGTGTGTGTGTGTGTGTGGGTGGGTTCGGATCATCCTACATACAGTATGAGTATGAGTGTGTCTATAATGTGTGTGCATGCATGTGTATTTATATGTATTATAGTGTGTAAGTAATTGCACGCCTTCCAGTGAGTGTGTGAATAAAATGTGTCTCTAATAATTCAGATCCCCCATACTGTAGCTGACTCTAAAACTGTGATAAGGGCAGTATTTAACCTGGGATCATCTTCACACAACAAAAGTGTTGAGACCAGACTTTTCAGATGGCAAACAGCACAGCATGCCACCCCAAACACGAGCTCAGTGTAATAACCAATCCATTGATATTTGATTTGGCCTGAAGGAAGAAGAAGAAAGCTTGTGACTGAGAGACCACAGGTTCAAGTTGCTGAACCAGCTGATAAGATCTGCTTGGCGCATTTAGTGGTAAAACCACATGCCATTTTTGTGCTGTTGGTGATTCAAGAGTTGGTGGTTGAGTGCTGTATTGAAACATTGCAACAGCATTGAAACAAATCTCTCTTACATTGGACTGCTATAGGACACAGAGAATTTAAAGCTGGTGTATCCACATGTGAGTGATTTATATGATAACTATTCATTAGCATCCCATCCAAGATACCAATGCATGCTATGAGGCCATGTGGGATCCCACATATGTGCTACATCATTAAACCGTCCTTGTCCAACCAAACCTTAACATTTCTAGTCAAAAAGCAATTTCTGGATCATCATTGCAGAATACTGGAGAAACCTAAACTTCTGAGCGTTGAGAATTTTTATGCTATAGTCAAATCTGTGTCTTTAAAGTGTCTTGGCCCCTTGTTCTTTGTTTATATGGTGCCTACTGCTGTGCATTTTTGCTTCTTCAGTAACTTCCGCTATTTGTCATTCAACAATCAGCTCTATTCTTTGCTGCTGTATGTCTGTGAAGATTCTCAGTCATCCAGGTCATAGTTATCCAACAAAGGTTAAAGTCAAGGACAACTGGACTTGGTTGAAGATACTGGAAGACTTTTCATCCCTCATCCAAGAGACTTCTTCGGTTCTGACTGACTGGTAGGGAAACTCAGCTATTTAACCTGAGTGGGGTCGTTTGCCAGGATCGTCAATACTGCTGGTTCGTTAGTGCTCCTGGTTGTTGCAACGTTAGGACTACCCCTGGCCAAGACTGAACAACCATCGTTGGCATCTTCACCTGAGGCCAATAGGTTACGTTTGTTGAGTTTCCTGGAAAGTGATGAAAGGACAGCATTGTAAGTGGGGGACAAGTGGTGGCGTAGACCCCCTCCCCTGTTTGCTGCTGTACTGATCAAGTAAATCTCCTCTCACCACCAGTTATGGTTTTGTCTGTTTTGAAATGAAGCTCAAATCAATGGGCAGCAAAGACACATTTGAATTGGTCATAAAACTAAGCTTTGTGCTGCTGGCATGTGAGCTCATCAGAGGTTCATCAGTAGGAAAAGACTAAGCTTTACACATTAACAAGATTATGTTTTACACATGCTCAGGTAAATCTGTTGAGAGCCTGGATCTGATTGGCTGGGCAGAAAATAGCAACTGGAGCCAACAGACAAGACTAGAGAGTTGAGCAATACAAACCATAAGGTCTTCTCTCTAAAACAACACACTTGCCATTTCTATTTTTTTTAAAGCACCCAATCTTACAAAGATAAGGAATCAAAATGCAGTTTTTGATGGTGGAGTTATTTGTACTCCTACTTTGCAGCCAGAGTAGTCAAAGTTGAGACAGTGTATTATATATCTTTTATATAGAGTTGTCAAAAGTTGTTTTTCCCAGTGATGATACATCTGGCATTTTTCCACTACAGAAAATGTAAGCTGTTGGGTGAAATGTTGCGAGGGAACTTCAATGAAAGAAACAGAGATGGGGGGAAGGATTCATTGTCCTTCATTGTGCATTTCTTTTCTCCTGTGGCTCCTCCACCAAAGTATTGGACATCATTACCGGCCAAACAAAGTTTCTTTCCTCTGCATTGTTTCACTCATGAATCACAACCTTTGCAGCACATTTGTTATTGCAATTGGAGACTGACGTGTTCTTCCAATATTACCTTGTGACATTACATGTAAACTACAGCAACTAGGCCACTCACTGGTTAAGTGTTTTCTACAGCACAGCTTATTCTCAGTTCCCTTTGCCTTGAATGGGAAACATTTTTCTCTCTTAAATCAGCAAATATCTGACAAGATTCAATTTGATTATCACTAACTTGTTCTTATCAGCTGTCTCAGAGATCTACAACGCCTCAGTATATTCTGTGCAATTTTAAAATTCAGCGAGAGTGAATAAGCCATATAGTGGCGCAAACACAAAAACTGCTAATACATCGATGGAAAATGTGAATCACACTGGAATTGTCTTTTAAGCTAAAATACCAGCCTCATACATACATGTTGTACTAACTGAAAAAAACTGAGAAGTTTACATAAATATGCCTTTCAAGAGTTTCTTAGAGAAAATCCAGGAGCTTTCATCTGTGCCCAGGAAGGGTCCATCACAATAAAACAGAAAAGTCATAAATTGAGGTAGATTATATAAAGAATGGCACTTTGCTACATGATGATTGTGTTTTGAAACTAAACCTTCCAACAAACACATTTCAAATAGTCGTTCCAACGTTGGGCTGTTAGGAGAAAAAAAAAACAACAACTCTGGTGCCATCATGTGTCCTTGAGTCAGATAACAGCCGAATCCTTGGTTAAAAACAGCAGTTACAAAGGAATCCCTGGGAGAACAGATCTCACCTCTGTTGCAGAGGTGGATTAAACCACTCAAGATGTTACTTTCACTCTTTTTATTGCTCATGTCAAAGGCTAGAAACACAGAGAAACTCGGTACAGTACAGTACAGTACATTACTTGGCATTAAAGCTCCTTCTGATTCTGATACAGTACTGAGTTTTTAGTGTGTATCTGACTCTGTCTCCCCCCACAGGCTGGCAGCTGAGGGAAGGTCATTCCTGAGCAGGCAAGTTCCTGCTACACTCTGATCCTGGAAATACTGAAGTTGTGTATTGTCTTCCCAATAGCACATATCAGAGATTAAATCCTTTAAACTAAAAAAACTTTGGGTTCAATTTGCAGTTGTTACAATTTGCTTTTAACTCAGGGATGTTATGTTGGCCGGATTCAAAGACAGAAAACGTTGTGAACTTGAAACCAGCTCTAAAGTAGTTTACACTTCATTTTTTTATCTGGTCCAACTTGCATAACTTTCATCACAGTAACTCATACAGATCTACCACTGTGTGCTTCGTAACGTTCATTGTGGTTTTACCGATACTCAGGTACACATCTTCTTCACCGTCTCAGTCGCTGTAACTAATGTGAGGAGCCATTCACTTCAGTAATGTTACTTAATGTAGTCTAACTGTTATAAAGTGTGACACCAATCTCATTTATAATATTCAGTCTAGCTTGCTGACCTTTTAATTATCATCCAGTGCATTTAGCTGTGTTGACATTACTGAGCCTCCGGTTAAAGTAGTGTTTCTCAACGGGGGCGTTCCAAGGACGATGGGGGGCGCTGGAAGCAACATTTTGGAGAGGGTGGCGCTGAGCTGCTTTTGGGGGGCGTTGAAAGTTCTAAGGTGAGTTTACACCAAAGATTCCAAACAATACGTGTTTAAACTTTAAACTACTTGCAAAAAAACGTCTACCAGTTAGTCTACTGCGACTGGACGAGACGGTGTATTTTTCTCTGTCAGCTACTTGTGGTGCAGCTCCGTGCTGCCTTCACGGGAACGGGAAGCCAGAGTATCATCTGTAAAATTTTACCCACATGGCGTTTACTGTGTAAACTCTTTCTTGGTATTACCGTGGATATGTGTTTATTTCTCTGAGGCATAAACTGTGAAAGTCTTGTTATCGCAGTAGTTACGCATTTACAAGATAACAAGATAATCCTGTCGGACTTATTACGTCGTAATATTACAACTTTTTTTTCTTTACATGTCAGAGAACACAGATATGTGGGAGAGATTCTGAATGTGCAGAAAGTTTTGAACATTTGCAGTTAAGTTGCAGTGTTTCCCATAAGTTCATTTATTTGAACAATATCAACGCTGACCACCACATATTGAATTTCGATTTCTTTTACTTGGCCTGTTTAAAATTGTATTTGATTGCAGAGCGCAAGAGCAGCTGGCCCAGTGAAATGGAAAGGATTTGAGGACATCTACAGGCTGACATGTGTAAAGTTTTCTTCCTTTCCAAGTATCAACAGGGATGTTTGTTTGCATTCAGCTGCCCATTTCTATGGAACTGCACAGTGTGTACCACAGTCACTCTCACGCATCAGTGGTATGTAAGGTGTTGGGCAGTAATACTGTAATATTACTTTTCCCAGTAAAGAATAGTGTGACTGATTACTATTTCCAAAAACAGTAATGTTATTACAGTTACTAATCAAGTTAAGGCTACCCTACTTATTAGTGTTGTCTAGTTTGTGTCTGATTTTATTTTATTATTGTTTTATTATTGTGTTATGGCATTTTTGTATGAGTAAGCACATCATGAGCACAGTACAATCCTGAGTCAAATTCCTCATATGTGTACACAAACCTGGCAATAAAGCTGTTTCGGATTCTGATTCTGAACGCACCATCCCTGACGTGAACGCATGACCGCGCTGCAGCTCAGCCACACCGGACCTTATCAGCTGTTAGCCGAAAAGCTAAAGGAAGACAGGAGAACAGGGAGGAGAGGTATTTTCGAGATATTTTATCGAGATATTTTAGAGTAGCTAATTTTACTTTTTTAAGGAGCAGCCTATATGCTAAGTGACTAGGTAATAAGGACCGGATAAATTGGGTATTTTTTGATTATTGCTTGTTATAGGCTATGTCTAATGATTACTTTGACTGTTGTGGATTGATCAATCATATAGCCTACATACACTTTTCTGTATAATTGGTTGCCTTT